ACACTTGCAGTATAAAGCCGAGGCGAAAACGCTTCGACTTTGTGCGCCTCTCGAATCAAATCCGAATTGTCTCCAAAATTGTGAAAGGCTGTTGTCGAAATTGGTGAATAGTATTTTTGGAAGGTACGGTAGCAGAACACAGTGCAGTCCAGAAATGGTTTGAATTAGTAGCTTCAATGAGATAATAAATCTCGCAAAGGCGGATGCATCGCGTTTAAAATAATCACCTGCTCTTCATTGAATAAAATTATGTGCGAGCATTGCTTGAGTTACACCTCGAGGTCAACATGTGAAGAATAAAATTCAGCAGTATTTAACGCGACTGAGGAAACAATTCGTTTAAGTCTTAGTTGTGAAGAAAAGGTGAGGAAGCCCACTGATCAAATGGGCTCTGCACACAATGCATTGCCAGTAGGTGGGAGACAATTAGATTTAGAGGATGTCCATTCGTTCTACACTTCTCGCACGAACATTATGAAAACGCATCATTGAGGAAAAACTCTTTGCTGAATGACTGACTATGAAGAGAAACTGCTTAACAATGGAATGTTTGGTGGGCAAATAACTTGCCAATGGTTATCCACAAACAATCGCTCATACCTCACACTACTCACCGAGCAAACCTAAGGCACGCACCACTTCATCCGCATTACACTCCCTTGCTTTCGTGTGCGTGATGCACTGTAGACACAATCATTCACCCAGAATTTGTCACTTACCGAAGGCCAAACAAGCACAACTGGCATCTGACCACTCGCTGTACCTCGATACGAGTCGCAGAGTTGCAAGGAAATGCCCTTGCATTCCTTGCAATCCTCTCCTTTATCTCCTACTGAAACAGCTGAGACAAGTGAATTAGGCAAGACAACACAACGAAAAGGTCTCACCACCACATATCGCATGCCGCATACGGTGTACCACAGAGCTGATTGGTGAGAAGAATTGGATGAGGAGGTGGGTTGCGATGGAAGCTGGTGAAGTGAGAGGGTGCAAGAGACGAAGATACTGCCTCGTCATTATTCCAATCTCCCATTATCCTACCCGATATATCTCCAAGTGGTGGTGGTTGTGCTTTCTTGACACTAGTAGTAGTAGACAATCACATGATGACATGGGAAGCTGAGTAGACATTCGAGAAATGAACGTTAGATAGAAGTGTTGGTGATTCCCACTTTGTTTTACCGTTAATCTCAATGCGCG